AATTCGTGGCGGTGACAGTGAATAAACGATAGAAGCCAGGTGACTCCATTGATGAAAAATTCAAAGATATTCGTTTCCAATGGGATTGGCATTTTATTCCAATCGTATAAATATATGTATATGTATTGGCGGTTTGTCCAGAGGGAAAATAGTGGACACGGAGGACGTCGAAAATATAGGCAATTTTCAAGTTTTCAATTCCGTCCAGTTTCGGAGTGAAACTTTCCCATGTCCAATTTCATTTGGAAAACTGGAAATTCGAACTGGTCCAATAGTAGTCTCCTCTAGTCGAGTCGTTGGACGTTTTAACGAAACGTGCTTGTATCAAAAACCGGTTAATTTGAGAAAACAACGTATGAACGAAAATGAACGGGGAAAAAAAGGAAGGAGGGAGGGAGGGAGGAGAAAAAAAGCAGAAAAATCTGCAACGATATTACAAAAATTCCCACAAAAATTCTAAAAACTTTCTTTCTCTCTTTCTCTTTCTCTCTTTCTCTTTCTCTTTCTCTTTCTCTCTCTCTCTCTCTCTCTCTCTCTCTCTCTCTCCCTCTCTCTCTCTCTCTCCCTCTCTCTCTCTCTCTCTCTTTCCACTTCCACTGTCCACGATCGTTGAAATTTTTTCCCACGTTAAATTATCCGAAAACAAAATTAAAAACACACAACGTAATTACATCGGGTGCCGCGTTGAATTCGTTCGTTCGTTCGCTCGTTCGTTCGTTGGAGAGAAGAAAATGGGATAAAATTCGAGGGGAATGGAGGAGAAGCCGTCGATAACGGCCGTTCGTGACGAGCATTCAATTGCGTCCAACATATTTCGCGCAGAAACGAGGTGTATATCCGTTAGCTGATTATCTCCCGTGGTGCAGCTGGTTTTTCGAACGAGGAACGAAAATTAATCATATTTACGAGTGTACTCTCCCCTCTTTCTCTCTCTCTCTCTTCATAAATAACCGCGGAACCGGCAGGAATTCGCGCGGTTGTTCAATTTATGCGGCGGAAAGCGAAGCGGAAAAAGGGAATGAGAGAGAGGAACAGGTAGAGCAGATCCTTGTGCTAGGCGTAATCGATCTGACCGACCGATAAGGCTCCCTTTTTCACGCCGATCCATCATGACACCGTTGTTTGGCCTGTCTGCCAGGTCAACAAATCACAAGTCAAGTTTCGGCTCGAGGTAGGCGCGTGTTCGACCGTGTCGGATTCGTTTCTCCTCTCCTCTTCTTCTTCTTCTTCTTCTTCCTCCTCCTATTCTTTCTTTCTCGTTTCGAGTACATTAGCGTGGCTCCAAGGGGGATTTAGGGTTCGAGAAGGGGGATGAAGACAGTGACAGATCAGGGATAAGGAACGATATATAGCGGTTTGTCCGTGGAACTGAATCGATCGTGCAGCTTTAATCCTTGGAACGGAGAAGGAATTTACGATAGATCGATATCGGTGCAAAGAGGTGACAAAAATGGGATTCATCGAAAAGATAGGCACAAACTTTATCGTATCATCTTATTCCGTTCCGCCACGAATTGAAATTGTTTTTTAATTCCCCGCGCGTAGGGAATGGATTTCTAAAATTGCAAAGAGTATCCCCCCAAGTTATTCGCGAATATATATAAAACGCGTCCGACTATCGATCGATCAACTCGCGCCTGTCTCCTTCGATTGTTGACTCCCCCGTTCCGTCCTCCGGAATGGAAATGAACACGTAAAGTCGAAAACACGCGGATCGTGAAATAAGTTGGCGGAAATATACGGACGGTATCGTGATTTTCTAGCGTGGAAGCTACTAGAGTGTTTGCTCGCATTCGCATTCGATATTTCGAATATAGGACGAGTCGAGGTTCGATCACGACCTGGTTAAAACCTGATACTGTCTTTTTGAATTCCAGGCGAACGCGTTCTCGCCAAGGGGAGAAGGGAGGATGCGATAGGGCGGCTCTCGAGGCAGGAAACTCGTTGGCGGGTTTTTGGCAATAAACAGGGGAACAAGGGCCGATTTCCTCCTGGTCATCCATCCAGGAACGCAAGATCAACAAATCGAGGGAACCATTTCGAGGGAGCTTCTTTACCTTTGAAATTTCGCGACCGAACATGGGTAAATATTGATCGAGAATAACTCGAAGAAGGGTGGAAGGGGGATGCAGTAATGAAAGTAACTACTTGCAGCGATCGTGAACACTCGTCCCGCGGTTCAAGTGAGTTTTTGCCAGCCTCAATTTTCGAACGACTCTCGACTTTTTATCCGACTTGCCATCGGGGTAATTCAATTTGACGTTCGATTAAAAATAAATCAATGGGAAAGAGATGGTAGATATGTCAACGAGAGTGAACAAAAAAAAAAAACAGAGTGAATAGGGACCGTGAATCCGATTAACTTTGGAAAGCGCAAATTATCCCAAAAGCGTGTCTAAAAATGCTTTCAATCTCCGTTTAAACGAGAGAGAGAGAGAGAGAGAGAGAGAGAGAGAGAGAGAGAGAGAGAAAGATAGAGGAGGGAAAAAACGTAGCCGCGATATTCGAATTGGTGAAAAATTCATGGTCGAGCACAGGTGCGATAGGATAGCGTTTTAGAGGGGGAAAAAAAAAAGGAAAAAGCGTTCGAAATAGACGACCAACTACGACTTTATTGAAGCATCGATATAATACCAATCAAGATTGGGATTTCATCAAACATCGACGCTTTCGTAACTTAGAATGACCACTCGTTCCGTTCCTCTTCCACCTACATACTTTATTTCCCGATACTTTATTTAAAAAAAAACATTGCGACTTGCATTCGATATCAGATGTCGATTTTCATCCGCGAAATGGGTATCTGAACCGAGGTTTTCGACGAGGGAAAAAACAACTCCTTGATTAACTTTCCCATCCTTTCGTGCTAATCTAGAAACAGTTGGATATCGACTGTGACTTTTCCATTATACACTTTTGCCCGATCTTTGATCAAACAGTCTATCACCCTCTTTAAAAAAAAAAAAAAAGAAAAAAAAAGAAAGAAAAAGAGAGAGAGAGATGAAAAAGAAAACGAGGGAACATGTGGTAGGGAAAAAAAATCAAAGCGCTTGGATGAACGAAAAACGCTGGTCGAAAAACCGATGGCTGTGAAGAGGTTCCGTACCGAGGCTTTGATACCGGTTTCCAAAGAGAAGGTTTCGAAATAACGGATCGGTATTCGAATGAAGCGGAATGATATCGACGACGAGCGCGAGGGGCGCCAAACGACCCTTAATCCTAACGATTGTCTACGGGCGAAACGAATCAAGATGGAATTATAGCCGTCGAGCGACCATCTCCCGATGAAATGATCATCGGTTGCCATAAATTTCCTGCTTCCTTTCTATACTCGATTCCTCTCCTCTCCTCGGCTCGCTCGCGATCATCCCTCGCTGCACGTTGTCACCTAACCGCACACACTTCGTATCGATCTTGCAAACTTCTACAACCACCTCCGTCGCCCCGATTCCCCGTTTCGGGACGAAGAAGATTTTTATCTTCTCTGGCGAAACTGCTGACCATCGTGGAATCGTTGATTACCGCTTTCAGCAGTTTCGCGACTTACCGCGCGGCTAATCGACCGATCAAATTGAAGAAAAATTGGCGCGGAATTATGGGCGAAATAGGAGGGAAGGAAAATTCTGTGTTGGTGGATACGGAAATCGTCGCTTCGTTGTAATTAATCGTTGGGAAGGGGGAAGAGCGAGACGAGTTGCACGAGCGAAATGGAAAATTGAGATAACAACCGGCTTCCCGTCCAGACGAGAATCCAGGTGGCACGAACGATCCAACCGGCGACGTGTACGGATACGAAATCGCGTAGATATTAGCCACGAAGGAAACACACCGTCCGTGTCTTTGTGACCCCTCTCTCCCTCCGTCTCCCATTTTGATCGATTGTCACGAGCACGCCAATGTAATACACGGGGGTCCGCCACCACGGCGTCTACGTCTACGTTTTCGTGCTTGCCAGCTCTCCTAATCGCGACCGCTATATTTATCGGTTGGCCGTTATTGCGGAAACGACTATTTGTCATGGTCTGGTGTATTAATTACGCCACACCGGTTAAGGGAGAGGGAGGAGGGGGAGAAAAGAGGGGGAGCAGGTCTTTGCTCGCGTAAATCGTCGCGGCAAAGGGGCCGCCGGTTGGACAACCTGTTTGAATCGAAATTGGCCTACGAAATCGAGCGACTTTCGAAAATTGATCGTTACAGCTCCGTCGTGTTGCGCGCGTGCCTTCTTCCACGTGGAGCACGTGGTCGACGAGGACCTGATCGAAATTTATATTGGGTTCCCTTAACTGTTGAATTGCACGATTCCCTTTTGCACGGGATTGTTTCATAATTCAACGGAGAAAGGGAAGGTTGGATCTGCTCGGTTGTTTCTCATCGTTTATCCATGTGTTTTTTCGCCGGGATCGGTTGAGGTTAGTAGTTTCGGCTTCGTGGCGAAGACGAGAATTGAAGAAGAGAATTGGGGTTGGATAAAATTTCTTTGTGGCACGAAACAGAGGCAGGATACTGTTGGATTATACGATGTTGTTATCGCGAATATTCTCGGTATTGCAAATAAGAAAAATCGTATATTAGTTGAGATTATTCAAGAAAAAGTTTAGAGAACGTTTGGAGATATTGACGAGTGGAAAATTTACGACGAGAGATAAAAGATTGGTAGTTTAGAATTTCGAAAAGTGGCGAGAATCTTTACTGTTGGTTAACGGAACCAACTGGCAGAGATAGTTTCAGTCTCGATATTTTTATCCGCCATCTTTACGATGCAAGTTTTCATATCGGTCATAAAACTAGCTTTGGTAGTTTTACAAAATACAAGCTTTCAGAATTTTCCTTCCCTTCCTCTCTCTCTCGCTCTCTGTCTTTCTCTATCTCCCTATTTTTTCTTTTTTTTTTTCTTCGTAAAAGAACGACAAAGCTAGTTATTTTCTCGCCCTGTCTTTTCGAAGAACAGGTTCGAAGAGATAACTTCAGTTTCGTTCGGGAAGAAAATTACTGCGGCTTACCACTTTATCTCCCAAATTTCGCACACGGCATGGCAGGTACACGGTTTGTCCGACGAATGCGCTGACGTTCGCCGCTGTCGGTTCAAAAACGGGTAAATCCCCTTCGGCTGAGTCATTATTGGCGTCGTTTGGTCGCCTCTCCGGGCCCTCCTTCGATATTTCGCGAAGTTGTACAGGCGCTGAAAGCAAAACAAATTGGTTCCGTTGAATCGAAAACGTTTCCTCGAAAATATTCTCCCGTATTTCTAATGGTCTGCTAAAAACTTGGTTGATCGATGCATAATATCTTTCTTGGAAAATGAAAAAAAAAAAAAAAGAAGAAGAAGAAGGAGAAGAAAGAAAAAGAAAGAAGGAAAAAAACACACTATTGACCGAGGATTAAGCAGAATTTTTACCAAGATCCATTATTCTCGTAGTTTTTACCAACTCGCTCGGTTTTCTTCCTTTTTCCGCGTACGAAGGAATTTTCTAAAAGAAAACTCGTCTTCTTTGAAACCTTCCCCTTCCAACAAGACGGAAAGGAAATTTCTCGCGAAATTTCTAGCAGAGTCGTTCGGAATTTCTCCCCGATATTCGAACGAAAGATAAAAGAAAAATCACGTCGATCTTGTTTGCTCATTAAACGTTTCCGCGGATTAATCTTCCCCGAGTTAACATCTCTGGAACGGGAAGGCGGTACTTGCCTCCCTTATTGTTCTCATACGCGAATTTCTTTCCTCATTTCTCGAGATTTATTTTCTTCCGAGATGGACGTGTCTGGACACGTGTTACCTTCGTAATCCTTCGGAATTTCATCGAACGAAATTCGAGCGTTGGTATAGCCCCGGGGGGGGGTCTATTGGGGGATGGTATCCTCGTTAGTATACCTAGTAACAGTCTCTCCGTCATCATCAATCATCATCAAAACTGCGCGGAACGATATCTATTCACGATCGACGTGGATTAATCCCGGAGGAAAGTTGGGAATAAAAGCTCGGTTAGTCACGACTTTGCACGACTATATCGAGCCAGGAAAGAGAAAACAACGTCCTTTTATTTCTAAGGTCTTTTGAATTGGGGGAAAGATGGAATTGGAGAGATGGTACTGAGAAAATATCTTTCCCGACTTCTCTCGAAATATTCGAAAATTCGTTTGTACAGATATTCCAAGAATTTCCTGCGAAACAATGGAAGAAGAGATTTTGAATCGAGGCGTGTCCATTTATTATTTCACCAAATAAAAAACGGAAATCTCATCATAGTTTTAATCATCTTTCGCGTATAAGTGAAACTTCGTATTCGAAGTGAGCGAATCGTCGGAAATTTTGGAAATTGACAAAAGAAAGAAAAAAAAAAAAGAGAGAAAGAAGTAACTAGATGATAGGAAAAAAACGAGGACACTTCATTCTCTTCGCTCTCTCTCTCTCTCTTTCTCTCTCTTCCCCTGCGTCCTCCTCCCTCTTTTACAATCTCTGAATCGCGGCCACGTTTTTTCCCCCCTCGAAAACACGCCCGAATAAATTTAATTGGACGGGAGCCGAGCTCTCGTAGCTTGATACGAGAAGAAAAGAGAGGGGGAGGCGTCACGGTGCTCGAGGTGCAAAAGTGCAATCGAATTATCAAACGAAGCCAACCAGAACGAGCCGCTGACATCGTAACTCGGTGTGCTGACCGTTTCGCATAAACAACGCTTCCTGGCCAAACATGGAGCGATATCCTCTCTCTCTCTTCCCTCTTCCCTCTCCCTCCTCTCTCTCTTTCTCCGTCACTCCATCGTTTTGAGGTCTCACGTTAACGTGTCACGGGTCGTTCTTCCCCAGAGAGGTGAAGCTCGGAGTACAGATAACGCCCGTATACACAGCAGCACGCTGGCGTCATACAAATGACCAACTTCCCCTCGACTGGGTTGCAACGTCGCTCGTATCCATCCCATCCGACCCACTGATAACTGCAGATTAATTGACAAAAAGCAGAGACCGCGAATACGGATGATGTACACGGGCCCGAAAATCGTGGTCGTGCACCGGCGGGATTTAGTTACACGTCGACCTTTACCTCTTTATTTCACGTTGCCCCTGGTAAATGGGGTTGGGATCGAAGCGTGTGACGAATTTATAGGCATAGGGGTGGGGAGGGTGAGGGGTAGGGGAAGAGTTGAGAGCCGACTGTTGACAGACCGGAGTCAAAGGGGTGGATGGAAAAAAAAAAAAAAAAAAAAANAAAAAAAAAAAAAAAAAGTTTAACGCTCCCGCGTTGGTGTGAGAATTTATGCCTTTGCATAACCGACACCTGCTACCTAAAGAATTAATGAATTTAAAGGAGAGATAACTTTATACTTTTATGGTGGAGATTATATGTATTTAAAAAGAAAAAAAAGAAAAAAAGAAGAAAAAAAAGGCGAATATGTTTTTTCTCGCAATGAACAAATTTCACAACGAACAGTATGTACAACGCATGCATCAAAAGAAGTTTTTGCGAGTACGATATTTTTTTCCTTGGTGCGTATAAAGTCGTTCGTATTATCTGACGCGTCTATTGTTGCATTTTATATTCTTCCATCGCACATCATCCGAACACTTTTATGGGGGTACCGGGGTATAATACGCATTTCGCGTATTTTTTTTTTTTTTATTTTTTTATTTTTAACGTAATTTCCAGATAATATTTTATTCGAGAATTCCAGTTCTTATTTACTTTTTCGTGTCTGTCCGAGTTAAACCATATATAAAATAACACGATTTATTCGTACACTTCTCCCTGAAAAATTTACACACTGTTTAAACAGTTGAAGCGACTCCATCAAACTTCTGTCTGAAATCTAAATATTTAACGAAGATATTGAAACAAGGAATAAAATAATTCAGTACCTCGGATTTTATTTCCACCCATTAATGGAATATGGGGAGGGGGGAGAGAAACGCGTCAATCCTAGAGGCTGAAATCCGATTAAATATCCCGGCATACGGCGCTTGTCTTAATATCTTAATAATAATAATCTCAATCAACGACCGTGAAAAAATCTTTCTGGAACGCGGACGGATGTGCCACATTGCTTTTTATCCCGGCCTGCATTAACGCGGTCGTTCACCGTCTGACCAAGCGTCGTGCGTTTCTACTTCATCGCGCGTTCGACGAGGAGAAAAGTATTCGATTCATTCGCTCGCCACTTTCCTTCTTTTCGCATTCATTTCGTTTCCCTTTCCTCCATCGACATCGCTTTATAATATTATAAACCGCGTGCAGAAAAGATTGTCGAAAGGCCGAGAAATGTTCCCTTTCTGTCTTTTGCTCTTGGCCCTCCAGCTATTTTTCTTTGGACGATCGTCGGGATATTTTATGGTTGGCATCGAGCGACCATCTTTTTTCCATCTTCTTTTCTTTTCTTTTCTTTCTTTTTCTTTTTTGTCTCTTCTCTCCGCGCTCTTCTCATTTAAAGAAGTTATACCGCGAGCGAAGAATAATTCTCTCGGACGTACGTCAATTCCGATTTCCATCGACGCCAAAGCTCGACCAGACAAATTATATCGCGTACGACTCGATCGTTCGCTTCACCCTTATTTAGTCGATAATTGAAAAATAATTGACGCCACGTTCGAAATCGAGATGAAAGTTTTATATATATATATATATCTTGAGAATATTTCATCGTAGGCGTACTAACATTAGATGGGATGGGAACTTGCAAGGAATTAGGATGATAGATTATTTGGTTTATTAATTAAGCGTCAAGAGCAGGATGCAGAAGCGACGACTTAATTTATCCTGCAACTTTTTCACGAAGACTTCGATCTCTTGTCAATGCTCTTAGTAGAATGATACAAACTTAAAGCTTGTTTCGAACATTTATTATAGAAAGCTGATAGATTTCCCTCCAAGAATGAAAAGAAAAATTTCCACTTTTCTTTCATTCGATTTTATATTCTCAAATTCTTAGTTTGTATATTGCGCTTAAAGAAAAGTGAAATAAAAAGGGGGAAAGAAGGGAATAACGTACAGACGACAAAGGTTGTCTCTGCGAAAAAAAGAAAAAAGAAAAAAAAGAGAAAGAAGGGATTCTGCTCGCAACGTAAGGAAACCGATAAAAGGAGGCGGCTGGTGAATTTCCTTTCCGGTATGTTCTTCGATAAGCAGAGCTGCGACGTGGAATACAAATATCGAGTGGAGCAGCAAGGACGCAGTATGTACGCCGGCATTAAAGCGAATTACTATGTGCTAAATCTCGCAGCGTTACGCTATCTTTCCTAGGCACTCGACTCACCTCCATTACGACCGTGGCTTTTTTCACCGGCAAACGACACTTTTATTTCCCCAAAAGCATTATCCCGTTTTTCCCTCTTTGTACCCGAGGATTCTCTACGTATTCCTCGTCCCTCGCGATTACGTTTTCCTCCTCCTCCCCCTCCTCCTCCTCGCTCCTAGGCCTTCGAGAACGCGTGTCGTTTGCGTAAAACGATGACGAACGGCTTCTAAATCCTCGCTGGGAGGGAAACGAAGGAGGATTATAAGGATCGTTTACCGCGGTGGTAAGGAACATTTTTATCGCGTAGACGCGGCAAGAGATTGGAATATTTCTCGATTAGCCCCCTTCCATCGCTAATATTAATTCTGACTGAATCTAAATGGAAATGTTTTTCTCTAAATACTGAAAATCATTCTGAAAATAACCTTCGATTATGACCAAGATTGGAAGACCAGGGTTAAACCAACGTCCCTTCCAAAGGGAACTTCGTACACTTTTATCGCCTCGAAGATCGTTCTCGAAGATCGTGCATCGCGATTATTCGAGATCCTTTCCCGCCTCGTTTAATCCCATCTGCGTGGGATCAACTTTCCCGGCTCTTTCTCGTGAATCTCGAAGAAGTAGTAGTGGTCGAAAAAGCGCGCAGATATCGGTAGAAGGACGGAAGAACGGCGAAGAGGAGAGGCGGCAGTTGGCGGCTATAAAACTACAAAGCAAACCAGCCGTTAATCTTACGACTGGCTGGAATCGTGCGGCGGTCTACCGCTCTTAAACCAAACCAACCCTTCTCCCTTCTTCCCTCCCTCTCCCCCTCCTCCTTCCCCCCGGTCTGTTCCGCCGCTCGAAACAATGAGGACGAAACTTTACGGTCGCGCTAGGCCACCGGGAGAATCATATATTTTCGCCGCAATGCTCGTAAAGTGTGGTCGCTCTTGCCAGTCGGCACATCGCCCAGTTGCG